AATTTGGTATTCGAAATACCATTATGGCCTAAACCGGTATCGCCTATTGCAATACATTGTGATAGTGCTGCGACATTGGCTAAGGTATATAGCCATGTTTACAATGGAAAGTCTAGACATATCGGGTTAAGACATATCTATGTGAATGGTCTTATTAAAGACGGGGCTATAATGGTGGATTTTGTGCGGACCAAACAAAATTTGGCGGATGCTTTCACAAAAAGCTTGCCAAGGGACGTGGTCCACAAAATGTCACAAGGGATAGGACTTGAGCCGGTTTCATGAATTGCAAGTAAAGGAATCTCAACTCAACGTCTAGTACAACGCTAGATCTTGAGTTCAATGAGTTAAATCCTTTACTATGTGATTGTAGATGCTTCACGACAACACATCCCGAGGCAAGCATCTAGATTATGCAATGTAAAGAGGATGTTTTACTTAATGAGTCCTTTGACAAAGTGCTTAGTTGCAGGGCACGATATCAGAAAGAATTCACCTATACAAGCATGAAGTGAGGCCGCTTCAAAATGTTGGTGGCTCAACATCCATGTGCTTGTGAATGGATATGGACACATGGCCATTATAGTGTCAAGCATTGCAGAAAAACTTGTATCGACTTTGTGTGTGTTTTGTACTCAGTAGCTCAACTAGGATTACTAGGTTCAATCGTTTCGACACCTATGTAATTCGAGTTTATTGTTGTACGTTACACTAAGTGGAAGTTCAATCGAAAGATACTTTCATTTATGCACAAAGTTGTGAGGATGACGGATTGTCGCTTAGTTTCCATAGATAATCTACTCTAAAATGGTGGAGGATTGTTAGTTATTTTAGAGTAGATTGGTGGACTTTAAAATCTCTCAAAGGATTCTTGTTTCACGTGTATTACAAGTGTGGTGGAGGAGTAAAATACTTGTAAAAGATGTGTCGTGAATTGATTAAGTGTTAAGGATTAGTCGGAAGATATTGAAGGTGGCTCGTTTGGCTCGTTTTTTCCGATAAAACAAAACTGGAAAAAATGAGCGACCGCTCAAAAAATGAGCGACCGCTCAAAAAATGAGCGACCGCTCGGAAAATGAGCGGGTAGCTCATTTTCTCTGATGAACAAAACTGGGAAAATGAGCGACCGCTGGGAAAATGAGCGACCGCTCGGAAAATGAGCGACCGAAAATGAGCGACCGGTCAGGAAAATGAGCGGGTAGCTCATTTTCTCTGATGAACAAAACTGGAAAATGAGCGACCGCTCGAAAAATGAGCGACCCGCCTGATTTTTCTGAGTTGTTCAAATGAACGAAAAATCGTGTCTGTTCGGAAAAAACTTCCCTATCCTTGCACCTTTTGACTTTTGGAGTGTTAAAAACATTCCTAGACGTCTGAACACAGTAGTATGAAATCTAATTGATTTTTGAGAGATTTGTGAGCCTTGTTGGTGAAGAAACTTGCTACTTCTTCTCCATCTTTTACTGTTCATCTTCTTTCTCGAGTTTTTCTGTTTCGGGCAACGTTTGAGGAGCAGATCAATCGTTGCTGGTCTTCTTTGTATCTCTAAACGTATTCTCGGGTTTCTCCTTTGCTCGGTGGGGAGGGAATAACGTTTTAGGAAAGTGTTCTACACGCCTAGAAGATCATATCCGGTTCTTTCGTTTTTATTTCGATTTCATTGTTTTTATTGTTCTTTCTGGCTGTATCCAGACCCACATTAATCTAACACACATTTCATTTAAAAAGTTCATTTCGTTTCGTTTAACATGAATTTTTTTTCCTTAAATACGATATTTCAATATCATATCATACGATTTTATTAATTTTTGCTTAGAGATAGCAACCCCTGTTTTGGTATTAGTGGAATAAATACTTATACATGTAATATTACAAAAAAAAAAAGTGTGATAGCTGCGGTCGATTGGCCAATAAGCAGATAAGAAGAAGCATAATATACATATATATATATATAATTAATTGGTAAGCTTTATTAATTGTGATGAGTCATGAAACTGATAAACAGTGACAGGGTTGAACAATGGCAACATTTTAATTAAGCGTGTTATTAAAATCATTATTACATCATTCGACATGTCTCCTTGATTAACGGTCGACATGCGCAGTGGGTGTGGGTTTGTTTTTGTTTTTGTTTTTTAATTACTATTTTATTTCATTTTGTGGCTTACATATTGACAAATACGAGTTAAGATCGGTTGATATAAATCCAATAATATATAATATTTTTTCAAATTAAATTTATATACCAAATTAATAGAAATATATAATAATGGGAAATAAAAATAATAAAAAATAGAATAGATTCGATTTTTTAGAAATATTATTTTTTTATGATAAAAGATATATGATCGAATCCATTTCAATAAAATTAAAAAAAAAACCAAATTTAATACAAAGATTGAATATCATTTTTTTAAAACTTAAAATTCTGATTAAAAAATAATCTAAATGAATTCAACTCGACATCCTATAATAGTTAAAAGAAAAGGGGGGGGGGGGATATACTAATTTTCGTTAGCGCATTGGATCCGTGTATATATATATCAAGTTATCAACTTTATATACCAAAAATGGAATAATTTACTTTGCCGGTCTATAAAATAAAACTAGAGCCGTATATATACCAATTGGGGCTATAATTAATACTCCTTAGAGTTAATTACAATTGATTGAGGTTGATTTACGTGATTTGCATTAGGTCCATATTCAACATAACGAGGCCATAAACCACATCATGACATCTATAATTACATGCTTAATCTTTGTTGTTAATCATATTTGAGGCTTATAATCCAATATATTTATAACAAAAACAACAAAGTCGTTGTAGTATAGTGGTGAGTATTCCCGCCTGTCACGCGGGTGACCCGGGTTCGATCCCCGGCAACGGCGTTAGAGATTTTACTATTTTGCCCCTGCCTCGTGCTCCTCCATTGTTATATATATAAAATTGCATTCCACTATATTTTATTGACTGTGCGAAAACAAAATTTGTGACGAAAGATTCGAACTTTATCCTTTAAACTGGAATTACGTTTTGCCCCTGCCTAGTAGTGTCTTTTATTTTTTGTTTATTGCCTAAACTCTATCACCACTTGTTTTTTTATATAAAATTAGTTAACCAATACGAATTTACGTAATATCCCCAAAAAAAAGAATTTACGTAATTAGACGAGGAGATGTGGCCTTTATTGGCCATGAAAGGCCCAAATTCAAAAATGAATGCACCAGCCGGGAATCGAACCCGGGTCTGTACCGTGGCAGGGTACTATTCTACCACTAGACCACTGGTGCCTTGTGATTTATTGTTTAATATTTATATTTATCTCTGCAACTAATAAATTAGTCAACCTAATTAATTTATTAGAAGTTCCTATTTTTTTTAAATAGTTTTAACGTTTTCCTTGTATTTTAATAGTTAAAACGACTGCATACCTTGTACTCAATGGTTAGGCTTTTCAAGTTTTAAACCATGCATTCCTTGATATTACACACGGTGTCGTTTTCCTAGATTTGTATAGATTTGTCGGGACGAAACTAATAGTAGGGATCCCAGTATATTCCACGTATTCAGTTTATTTTTATTTACCAAATTACCTCCCCAGCCAGGTTTTAGGGTTTCTCAAGGGTTTTCCTTTTCCTTGACGATTTCTACGATCTCAGCCGTATCCCTCTCTGCTAATTCGCTTTATTCTTCTTTAAATTGATGTTAAATTGTATCCAGCATTCTCGGACTGGCTGAGATTCAACTCAAAATCTCAGAGATTAGATGACTATGGAGGCTAGAGTCGGTGCGGTGGTTGATGGAGGACAGAGGGCTCTTAATTCCGCTACCACCGCCGTCGCCGCCACCGCCACCTCCGCCGCCTCGAATGGCTGCGCCGTGGACGCCGGTGCCAGGAAGCTATTGCAGCAACAACCGCAGGGGCAGCCGCAAAGGCCAGGAAGCTATTGCAGCAACAACCGCAGGTGCAGCCGCAAAGCCTCCGCCACGGTAGTAATAAACAGTCGCTGAATCAGCAGCAGGCCCACATCGGCACCTTTGAGCATCTCCTTGCCGGCGGTATTGCCGGCGCCTTTAGCAAGACCTGCACCGCTCCTCTCGCCCGCCTCACCATCTTGTTTCAGGTTTGGTTTTGAGATCGAGTTTCGATTTCTATTGCCTTCAATCTCGTGATTCTTCAGGATTTAGTATTGTGCTGTGTGAAATTTTTCTGCTTGGTTTTCGAGCAAGCGTATATACCTTATATACGATATTGGGTTTCGATTCCGTATTTGAATTAAGGGTTTTGAAAGGGTTTTAGGGTCGGGTAAGTCTTGCAACGGTGAATGTTAATGCCAATGGGCCGACCTTTTTCGCTGCAGGAGCTATGTTTTGATCCTTATCCTAAGTTCATGACTTGATGACCTTAGCTGCGTTAGGAACTTAGGATATTGCCTGAATAGTACAGTGCAAATTATTTTTGTCTTGATAGTTCTGTTTTCCGTTGTTAGTTGCAAGGTATGCAGTCGGAAACTGCAGTGTTAAGCAAACCGAGCATATGGTGTGAAGCATCTCGTATCATCAACGAGGAAGGGTTTAGAGCCTTTTGGAAAGGAAACCTTGTTACTGTAGCTCACCGGCTTCCATATTCTGCCGTGAACTTCTACACGTATGAAAAGTACAAGACTGTAAGTTTCTTACGAGCTTCCGAAGAGTTACTCTCGTGCAGCAGTCTATAATTTGGTCTGACCTTGCTTCTTTTCTCTTTTACTGTTTCAACGGGCAGTGGTTGCACTCGATACCGGCCTTGGGGACTTATAAAGGAAATGCCTCCTTAGATCTTTTTGTTCACTTCATCGGTGGTGGGTTGGCCGGAATAACGGCTGCCTCGGCTACTTACCCTCTGGATCTGGTGAGGACACGCCTTGCTGCACAGGTAATACTACTCTTATCATCCTTGTTTCAGTTTCCTCCATTTCTTTACCTTCTCTGAAATTGGTTTTTTGATGTTATGGTGGTGTCAAAAACTTTATCTTGTTTTCTCTGTCTTCTTATAAGTTATAACCCAAGTTTTTTTTAAATGTTTTTATCCTTTTTTCCAGAGGAATTCAATTTATTACCGAGGTATCGGGCATGCTTTCCATACCATTTGCTCAGAAGAGGGATTTTTGGGTCTGTATAAAGGACTTGGTGCTACATTATTGGTATGTTTGTAGTATGCTTCCCCCCTTTCTTTTTCGTTAGACAAACCATGTTGATCACTTGATTGCTAACGGTTTTTCGTTTCTTTTTTTTTTGTTGATACAGGGTGTTGGACCAAGCCTCGCAATCAGTTTCTCTGCATACGAGTCTCTGAAATCATTTTGGCTGTCTCAAAGGTAAAGGCATCTCAGTATGGAGTAATTAAGTACGCCTGTAAATCAAATTACTATCATAGTTATACGATTCTAACGGTCAAATCCTGATGCCTCGCGGTAAATTTCCATTCATCTCCTTAAGGCCTAAGGATTCACAAATCATGGTCAGTCTTGGTTGCGGCAGTCTCTCTGGAATCGCTTCGTCAACTGGTCGGTCCGTTAGCTGTGTGTGTGTATATATATATATATATCAATGTACATCTGTTTTCTTGTACGCATAAAATCACAATTCTTTACGATGATGTAGCGACATTCCCACTGGATCTCGTGAGAAGAAGGATGCAGTTGGAAGGGGCTGGTGGACGAGCCCGAGTGTATAACACAGGACTCTTTGGAACATTCAAACACATATTCCACACCGAAGGCCTTCGAGGGGTTTACAGAGGGATCTTGCCCGAATACTACAAAGTGGTTCCTGGCGTAGGCATTGCCTTCATGACATACGAGACATTAAAGACGCTGTTATCGTCCATCCCTCATTCATAAAACCAGCCGGACGACCCATTTATACTTGGATGAATTTTTTTTGGTGAAAAGCCTTGCTTACTTAGATAGGTAGAGGAAGAAGAAGGAATAGTCTTTTCCCTTTCAGTGTATAGGTTTTAGATTCATTTACATTGGGGCTTCTCCATTGAGCATTTTCTTCACGAGATCATAGCTTTTTTGTCTTTAAGCTTCAAAATCAATGAATTGAATTTCCAGTTTCATGCTTTTCTCATACAAACAAAAACACGGGGTTTTTCTTGGAACCCAACAAGTTCTTGATCAGGAACCCAACTCTCCTCCTTACTGTAAACCCTAAAAACCGCTACCCCGGACAAGAAACTAGAAACCCAACAGGAATCTATGAAAAGCTTTCATAAGTTACCAGAGGCATCAACTTGACGTGCGGAGCAAGAAAATGCTGAGTTCTTGTGCCGAGTTAACATCCGGGTTTATCAGATGAAACGACTCCGAGTCAGAGTTACCCACGACGTGCTCGTAATTCGCCCTCATGTACATCACTTCATCCGGGTCGGGTTCTGACCCGGACCCAGATGGCAACACACCCGCCCCGATCGTCGTTGACTGCAACTTCTTCAGCATCATATTCGTCTCTTCGTTTGCGCCCCTTCTCACCGCGAACCCTAGTTTCCTCCCGTTGCAGTACATCTTCCAAACGGGTACCGACAGGGGCGGATGTAAGTATATAGGAGTGGGGGCACAGGACCCCACTCAAAAAAATAAAAAATCATTCATATATTTAAAAGTTTGAAGAGATTTACACTAGTGCCCCCGTTAGGTTTTTATGTGGGCCCCCTCTTATGAGTTTTTTTATTTTTTATTATATTTTTATAAAGATTTAGGTTATTTGTTTGTTAGTCACCGCCGTTTCGTATTCTTTATTTTTTGTTTTTTTTTTTAAAATTAAACCTTTTTCTAATACAAAATTATTATGAAAGGTTTTCTAATACAAATTTATTTTGAAAAAAACACAATCATCTTCATTGTTTCTCTTTGTTTTCATCTATTTTCTTATTTTCCCTCTCTTTCTCAGTTCTCTAAAAAAAATTCCCAAATCTAATATTTAACCATATAAAAAAATAAAGAACAACCAAATTAAAGGTATGGATGTGTTATAATTTTTTTTGAAATAATTTTTATTTTGTATTTGTTCATCGATTTCTATGTTTTGATCATATTTATAAATTTATTGTTACAAATATTTATTCAATCATATTTTTGATTTGACAGAGAAACCAATGGATAAATTTCTCAAAAGAAATTTTGCATCGATATCTCAAGATAGGGGTAAAACTCCAATCGGCAATATATCAAATTCTTAGGTTAGGCCCTCAATACCTGAGCAAATTGATTTACATGATTTGCCTTCGGATCCGGCTGATAGAAAAAAATATTAGAGTATCATCCTAATCAAAGAGATGAGATACGACGCAAATATTTGATTAGGGGACCTTGTCAACCACGTGGTCATGACTTTCCAAAGAAGATGATAGGGAATAAATTAAGACGATTTAATCCAGTATGGTTTGACCAATACGGTGATTGGCTAGAGTACAGTATAAAGAAAGATGGAGCATTTTGTTTGTGCTGTTACTTGTTTAGAGAACAAGTTGAGAATATATATATATATATATATAATAATGTGCCCCCGGTATAAGTTTTTTCTGGATCCGCCACTGGGTACCGATCTCAGCGGGCACGACGATAATTCGGGTCGGGTCGGGCATTCGAGGGCGACCCGGACGAGACCCGAACCCATCTCGTGGACGAGCTGGTTCGTCGCGATGGAGAGCTCGAGGAGGAGGAGAGGCTTCTTGGAGAGACGGTCGTGTTGGACGCAGAACCAGACGTGGCCTTTTCTCCTCCCGAATATCGTTCCGATCACCATCGTCTTCGACGGCCGTTGCGGCGCTGCGGCGGCGTCGGAGGATTCGCCGGAGGAGGCGGAGGAGGCGGAGTCATGGTCACCACCGCCGCCGCCGGCGACGATGTCGTCTCGGAGGGAGGTGCTGAGACGTTTTCTTGGTGGCTCCGGCGGCTGCGGCGGAGTTGACCGAAGGTGAGATGCAGGGGAGAAGGAATCGACGGAGGGCGTCGATCTTCGTCATTTTCTTTTTTCTTTTTCTTGAGGAATTTCAAATCTCGGAGAAAGAGGTCAAAATGGCGATTTCCGAGTTGCAGAGATCTCTGAATCTCCAGGACTGCGTCTTTTTATAGAGAAAAAGGCGGGAGGCATGAGAATATCCGTTGGGGCGTTGACCAGTTTTGACTAGTGATGCGTGGATCATTCAGATTTTGCCACGTGGAAGCAGAATCCCTGGACCCTCACCTGGCGAAGATACGCTTAGTTCTACATTTTTGTCATTATGTAGTATTATTATTCCATGGAACAACAAACTGCAAGATAGGGTAAGTGAACATATTTATTCGGCTTGTTTAGCGAGAGGGGAGAACATGACGCCGCAGAGGCAAAAGAGAATTGGTCCTAATGAGGGGACTTTGGGCCTTGGCACAACAAGCAGGTGGGACCATGGGACTTTCGACCTAGCCGGGCTCATGCCGGCTGCAGCCGAGTCCACACCAAACCCATCAAACTACCAATATTAAAATTAAAATTCTGACTTACAAGTGTCTGGGTGGTGTAGCCGGTTATCACGCTAGTCTCACACACTAGAGGTCCCCGGTTCGAACCCGGGCTCAGACATTTTCCTATTTTAGAGAGATTTTTGTTTTTTCGTTTACACGTGGACTCTTCCAATTGGTCCATTTTTTAAAGTTTCAATATTTGGGCCTCAGCGATTACTTAAGTCCGCCTATAAGTAACCCAGAAGCTCATCGCTATTAGACCATTGATGGCCACGTCTTCTATAACACAAAATCTACAAATATCATTATTGTTAATGGGCTTCGAGAAAAGCCCAATGGGCCGAATCTTATACAATATCATTGTGGCTTAGACGGAAAGCCCAATGAGCCGAAACTCGATAGGATAAGACAGATTTGTTCCGTACAATGGGGGGACACTTCCCGTCTCTCTTACCATCTTCGGACATCGGCCAGAGGTTTGGGCGCATGAATGGCGTGCTCTCTTTATAACACTCTCCGATGTTCCTCCGATACGCTGCGTTTTGCTCCCCCAATATGCAGCCGCCAAAACCCTAAACCCTCCTTCTCCTTTCCCAAACAGGTATATTCTTTTTGTATATGTGGGTCTGCGTGCGTTTTATATATATACACACACACATGTATGTATGCATGTAATACGCGCGTGGTTGCTTTTCGAGAGAACCCATTTGGGCATTTGAACTAATTTTGATTTCTGTGATTCCAATTTCGAATTTTAGTTTCTGGGCTCTTCTTCTTCTGCTGCTGCTTCTCATCGGCCACGGATCTCTGTGATATCGAGAATGTCGGCGGCTGCGGATACGGAGGGCACTATAAAGACGGAGAATAGGATGCTTGTAAGAGAACTTTAGTTGGCGATAATGTTGTCTTCTTCACTCGGAATTGTCCGGATCGGGTTCACCTCTTTTTTTTTTTTTTGAAACTTTAAGAAATGATTGGTTGCCGGGTTTTTATTGATTCAGGTTTTTGTTCCTCCCCATCCTTTGATCAAACACTGGGTTTCTGTGCTGAGAAATGAGCAGACTCCTTGTCCCATTTTCAGTGAGTACAAGAAATTTCTTTACTTTGGTAATGGAGATTAGATGATGAATTGATTGCTTATATTGTTTTAGTGTCTTTATGGCTAATTAAGTTAGGTTGAGGCTGTGGTTCTCATTCTAATGATTTTAGGGAATGCAATGGCTGAACTTGGGAGACTATTGATGTATGAAGCATCAAGAGAGTGGCTTGTGAGTATTTTACACACAAAATTTGCATACTATTCCTTGATTCCTTGTTATGGCCCTTTATATTAATCCGCCATATTCCCGGGTTTGCTTCTTGTTTGTGTGGTTTTCCTTTGATCAGCCTACCGTCGTCGGAGAGATTATGTCTCCAATGGGTACTGCTACCGTTGAATTCATCGATCCTAGGGAGCCTGTGGCGGTTAGCCTATCCCGAAATCTTACTGCTTTATATATTATATAACCGGTTTACTACTTTGTCTTGATCGTAGTGTCCTCATAGAATGAGATATTTGATTTTTCTTGTTGTGTAGGTTGTTCCGATTTTAAGAGCGGGTCTTGCTCTTGCAGAACATGCCTCCTCTGTTTTGCCTGCAAATAAAATGTATCATTTAGGTAAAGTATGTGCTATTGGAGAAAGATCATCTCAGCTTAAGTTCTAGATTATGATGATTGCCCTCCTTTTTTGCGCTGTTTTTACCAGGAATGAGTAGAGACGAGGAAACGCTTCAGCCCACGGTGTATCTCAACAAGTGAGACCTTTTCGTCGGCATTATGATGGTTAGTTCTTCACATTGGAGAAATAGTTCCCACTAACATCTTCAATGCATTGTTCGTAGGTTGCCAGATGAATTTTCCAAGAACTCGAGGGTTTTTCTGGTTGACCCAATGCTTGCCACAGGTAAAGGCTGGCTTGTCAAACTTGCCAATGGGGTGATTTATGAACAGAATTAATGTAATCACTCAAAGGGAATCTGGACATGACATGTTCTTACGAAATGTCTCCATCCATTAAGAGGCTTGTAGTTTCAGTGATAGTTTTGTTTCCGAATCAGAATTTGGTTTGATGTAAATCGAAAATTTTCTTCGGGCATCTTTTCCTCGTTTTAGGCGGTACAATAGTTGCGGCCATGGAGCTCTTGAGGGAACGCGGCTTGGGAACTGAGCAGATCAAAGTGGTATCCATCTAGCATTCACATTTCTCCTGGAATCTCAACGGTGAATCATTGGTTAAAAAATCGCAAATTTTCTGTTATGGCCCTTGTACAGATTTCCGCTGTCGCTGCACCTCCTGCCTTGAAGAAGCTTAACGAGAAATTCCCAGGGTAAGTCACAATATCAAAAACTTTTACTCTAGACTATCAAATGTTACAATATATAATAGCAAGCATAGAAACCAATTCTTTTTCGGTGATTTGATCATTCAGGCTTCATGTCTACACGGGAATTATCGATCCCGAAGTTAACGAAAAAGGGTAAGACCTTGTCGTATGCGTTAACAGTGTTGCGAATCATGTCGATATGAAATTTCAAGCTTAAGTTGTTTGGCTTTGGAATTCTGAAGAAAACCCAATACTACTATGATGTTCATTTGCTTTAGGTTCATAGTTCCTGGACTTGGAGACGCCGGGGATCGTAGTTTCGGGACATAAATCTGCCGGAGTTCCGGCCAGTGGTGACTGAATTGGTCGGAGAAAGCGTTCGGTCTGATCAAGACATTCTTGAAACCCTTTAATTCGTTTCTTTTGCATTATTTGTTTTGAAAACGAGGCTTATCAAAGTTCTCAGTGATGTTGGTTTCTTTAAATATTGAACAAGGAAATAGTTTTACGGTTCTTAAAAATAGTATATTTAACGCTAATTCCCATGTGTATGTATGTATGTATATATATGTGTGTGTATATACGAAAATGAAAAGAAAAAAAAATCTATAAACGATGGGTCCGTACGGTTACTATCACGGGTATGGAAGTAGTAACGGTCCGATGAATCCGGGTCAAGTCTCGGGTCCGGGTAAGGGTAGTAGAATGTTTAATATAGCACAAAAACTAGCAATTGGGGTTATTTCCAACTCAGTGTTTGGAGTCCGAATAAATGTCATGACGTTTGTTGGCATGTTGAGGTTCGAAATGTCTGATGATTACGGTTAAGAACTTATCAAACAAAGTTGTGAATCTCAAAAGAAAAAAATGGCCTCTCTCCCCATCTATGGTCAGTCAAAGAACTAATTGTGTGTATTTTTTGGGTACAAAGTCAACTAAGTTGCGTGGCCATGCTCTGTCATGATCGAGATGTGACTGCGAATATGATTACATTTTAATTTCCGAGGAACGTTCTCACGGCATCAAAGCCCGGAGATAAGGGAAGATGAATGAATGTCTTTTATATTATGGGCGTTCCCATGTATTTTGATTGCTAATTTGTTTGAATTCAATCGGGATTTTAATGTAAAAGTTCAACTTCTACAGACTCAATTATTCGTACGTCGATAAACCCCATATTCTTTTTTTTTGTTTTAAATAGAGAGAAAAACGATCAGGACATTGAAGATGGGAAGTTTGGTATCAAATCTCACCGTCCCAAAGCTCTTCGAGGGTCTTGTAAGGGCTGAGTGTCTCATGAATGAAGGACGAACCTCTCAGCAATCTTGCCTGTGAATGATTTAAAAAGACAAACAGCCCAATTCTAGTTGCGACGATATGTGAAAGTAATGAACTGTAATAATGGACAGAGGAAACGATTTTTGTTTAAGAAACTTGCCTGTTCAATCTCAGAGAATTTGGCAAAGAGGTCGTCCGGAATGGACCAGTCGAAAACATCGAAATTCTCTTTGATCCTCTCTTCATGTGTGCTTTTGGGAAGCACACTATGACCCATCTGGAGTCCCCAACGAAGGGCGACTTGTGCGGGTGTCTTCCCGAGCTTTTGAGCAGCAGAGTTCAGAATCGGGTTCTTCAGAACATCATCACCCTTGAGCCATGTCGTCCCTCGAGATCCAAGCGGCGAGTATCCCTTTACAAACGAATTTCAAATATGGAGTAAACTACAGACATTATTGCTATTGTATTGACTTTGAAAAACCTTAAACAGCAAAGACTACTGCTTGCTTACAGAGAGGTGAACCCCTTTGGATTTGCAGAAATCACGTAGCTTTTTCTGTTGCCACGAAGGATGGCATTCCACCTGGTTAACAGCAGGAGGAACACGAGCCACCTCCAAGAGATCCGCAAGTTTCTTCGTGGAGAAGTTGCTTACACCGATAGCCCTTGCCTTTCCAGAATCATAGAGTGCTTCCATTGCTTTCCATGTGCCAGGGATATCAGTAGGTAAGATGTTTTCAGGGCTAAAGCCAACAGAACCTTTCTTCAATCGAACAGGCCAGTGGATCTTCAGAAAGATCATGTGAACAAATTAGCCAGATGAAACGGATGATTCTCCTTACGTAAAAAGGCATAAAGGAGAATATTTTGTGTCCACTCCTCCCAGTTGCATATAGAATCAATGGGCTCATAACAGGATGCAGTGTTCACTGAAGTAAAAAAGGAAATGCTTACGAGATACAGATCGACGTAGTCAAGCTGCAGATCCTGTAGAGTTTTGTTCAATGCCTCGGGCACATCTTGAGGGTCGTGATCAGTACTCCTGTCATAATAAAACGTGTAGGTAATGGTACAAGGTTAGAGATTACAGACTCTGCGGCAACTGAATACGCAGAGTTGTGGTGTGTGGTATCAGGAGCGTAATAATTCAAGATACCGGAGTTTGGATGTGATAAACAGCTCCTCGCGCTTCACTACGCCATCTTCAAACAAACTCTTCAGAACTGATCCAATCTGGCAGAAAGAATGTTTTCAATTGCATTACATACACAGTCAAACAAGACTGAGTGTAGATTACAATGAACACCGAACTGACAACTAAAGGGGTTCATCCGGTATTCACATATTTCGTTGACATGTTGTGGGTCAGATAACAAATATATACACGGTAACAATGCCAGTCATTGCCAATCCTCAAAAGAACACTGTATCTTGGAAACATCAGATGTCATAGCCAAGCAATTGAGCATAAAGAAACATATAATCAGAGGATTCGTGGGTTATATCAGATTGCTTATTCAGTTTTTTTTTTTATAAATCAAATTACACACGCAGGAAAGAAAATTACGAAGTGATCACTTAGCAAATTATCAAAACAAGCAGTATTAGCAAATCCGTTTGATATGAACCAAATAAAGCACATTAAATTGATATAAAGCCAAAACAACTATGTTTCTGATTCCATGGATATTAAGCAGCTCAAACAGATATCAGCGAAACTTGTAGACCTCATGAACCAACAAAATTAACGGTGCAACTTTAAGACATACATGATCCGCAACACAAAGAAATTTAGCTCGATGAAATGAAAACAGTTATACCTCTTTTTCGTTGCCATACATCCGAGCGCAATCTATGTGCCGATAGCCGATCTGTGGAGGAAAAACATTCTCAGAGTGTTACTCTTGAAATGATCTCAATTCTGTAGACAAAACACAAAGAACACAAGAATAGAGCAGCACGTATTTGAATATAAAACCCTAAAAATTCTACGATAATAACCGGCACACCAGGATAAATTATAATTTCCTGGATCGACAAACACTGAACCGAGAATCAACTAATGTTGATCGCGCTTTTTAGGACAAATGCCGTGTAACCGTCTCGGACACCGAAAATCGTCATCAGATTGGATAACCTAACCCAAAACCTTTAGTGATCGGAAACTGAAAAGGGGCATGAGACATGAATCAGAAACGAACCTTCACAGCAGCTGCGACGGCGTTGCCAACAACGCCAGGATCAGCCTGCCATGTCCCGAGACCGACCGACGGGATCTTCGCTCCGGTGTTAAGATCGAAAAATCCGATTTGCTTCGCCATTATCGTAGCTTCAGGATAGATCTCGTCAAGACGAACAGTTGTGAAAACAAACGGTATTTATACCGAGACAACGGAGCGTCCGTATCTTCGAGTGCCCGACACTAAAGGACGAAAACGACGCCAGGCGGGGAGATTCTGGAGAAATCCTATTTTCATTTCCACGTGATTGCCACGTAGGATATCTACGTGGACGAATCTTAGCCGTTCATTTGGAAACACCAGCGATTCCTGAAAGCGTCCAAAAGGCTTTAGTTGTTAGGCCCACAAATGATAAATTTGGAAACACCAGATTGACTCTGTAGGCTATAAATATTAAGAATATATTAAGAGATAACGTTTATTATATAATATTTTGAAATAATTTGCATGTAGACGAATGAAACGAAGAGGCAAATTAAACTACATACATACATACACACATCCATATGTGTATATATATATATATAGTGGCGGATCTAATAAAGAAATACATAATTTTTTATCAAAAAACAAAAGAAATACATAATTTGAGGCAAATTTATTTTTTATTATGAGCAGATTTAATTTTATAGGGGTATTTCATAATTTTATTCAAAATTTTACAAAGTTCATACAGAAAATAAATAAAAATTAATTGGTTGAATGGGGCATGTGACCCCATATACTTACATATATATAGGTCCCTCACTTATATATATATATATATATATATATATATAAGTGTTTTTGAAAATATGCAATAAATTTATTAGATGGATAATTAATCATATATATATATATATAGATATATACACCCTTGTATCAAAGGCTGTAGCTTCACGTGAATAATAGAAAAAAAAAAGATTAAATAATACAAATTCGTGACTTATGCTTCACAGCTACTTGAGCAAAAATACACAAAAGATCAGTCAGCTAACTCTTATTTAAATAAATCATATAATCCATAAAAATACACCATTAATGTTTTTTAATATAAGCGCATTTTGACCTCCAGTATTGCTGTTATGATTCCGTTATTGGCATCATATTAATTCCTCTAGGGTTTTTAAACCGAAAGAGAGAGAGAGAGAGAAATCTAGGGTTTGATCATCTGCAAGAAATGGAGAAATCCAACTGTAACACGTCGTGGGAAGAGTTGGCCTTCGCGGAGGACTTAAGCCCTCGGTGGCCACATGAACGTTCATATATAGAAGAGAAAGATCAATGCTTAATAATAATAATAATAATAATAATAATAATAATAATAATAATATCCATCAATATTTTTTTTTTATAATATGTGATTTATCAAGGATAGGGATATGGGGTGTGGGGTGGAACACTGTTTGTGCATACCAACTTACCAGTTGAGCCAACCATTATTATTGACAATATCCATCAATACTTATTCTCCTCGTCTTCATCTTTATCTGAAGAATCTTGGCATACTTTGGTTTTCAACCCTAACCCTAATTGCTATCACGAGTCCCAACGTTCTTGTAATTGATCTTGCTACTTGTTCACTGTATTTGAGTTTTTCTTCTTCTTCTTCTAGGTTTAGGGTTTATATCGAAAAGAGGGTTCTTTCTTTCTTTTGTTCTAGAACATCCCAAGAACTCCGAGAAGACTCTCTATCCACCCAAATGAGTGCCATGTTTGATATAATTTTATCATCTATACATCCAAAAGAAATGTATACAGAAGAGTGTAAGAAATGGTTATAGCCATTCGTAATTAAATTTTTTCGAGAAAACCGATATTCAAATTCCGACAGATATATAATATTAGACTAACCATAGATAGATATATACTCTCGTGGTTATAAGTCATCTTAATTGTACGTATTTTTACGTTGTACTCTAAAGATATGTAAATTAAACCCATTATTAATAGGTGCGGTTTTATTTTTTGGTCTGCAATAGGTGCAAGCGCAGTCTATATCACATGGTGAATGGGTCTCGCGCGCCTTCATTTAACTCATATTTTTCAATGGTTAAATAGTTATTTAAATGGCATTATTTTCATACAGATATAAATACAGAGCGGTAGAGAATTTTTCGTTTGTTTCGCGGAATCTGAAATTATTGCAACACAATAAAGTAATTGGGGGAAAAAAAAACATAAAGAATTTCTTGGAAAATTAATTAATGACAAATATCCCGAAAATTCCTATCGAATTTTCCATCGCATTTACTTCAAAGGGGCTGTTCTCATACCGAACTAACTTCACTGAATTAGAGCTCCATTCTCACCGTATACAAAACCAATATTTTGAAAAAGTCTTTTAAAAACATAAATTATATTCATTATATGCATATATATTATAATGAATTTAATTATCCATGGCATTGACAGTTTTACATGGACTCGAATTATGCACTAAATTGAAAAGGGATTGCGCAAACAGTCGTTGTTGTTTGCCAGTTCTTTGGGTCTATTCTATTTGCATATTTGAACAATTAGAGGTCAACATCTATGTCGTCATAGACGCACAATCACACGTTGGAATATATTATATACACGCACATACATATATATACACGTGTACATGCGTAAGTGAAAATTCCTCTTGGGATCCCGACAACGAGAAGAAGCCAAAAAAGGTGTCTTGGTCTGCTTAACCAGTCTGGTTTCTTGCCATTGAAATAAGTTATAAAAAATGGATGCCCATGAATAAGATATTGTATATATAATCCTTATATATATATATGTATATATACGTATACACGACCACATAATTCTTGTTGATATTCTATTCACAAACTACTTTTGATTTCATAATCATTTTACTTTGTACTTGCTTGTCTGGTACTTCATTAATATGCATGACCATATCAATATACGAAATTTTCTTCTAAACGACATCTAAGGAATCAGATGCTGACATTTTACGGCTCTATAAACTTCTTCTTTTTTTAAAAAAAAATAAAATTATATACATTTTGTGAAATACCAAAAGTATATTCACCAAAAAAGAAGAAGAAGAAAGAAACTGGATATGAAAAGCTTCTCAAGCTTCAAATCAATCGAAGGACCTAGGTTAGTAATTTCCGCAAGTCAGAGACCAATCTAGGGGTGGGCGTTTCGGAAAATAGTTCGGGTTCGGGACGAAATGGATCGGTTTGGTTCTTTCGATTTTACAAAAATAGGTACCAATCGGGTTTTTTATTGTATTGTATTCGGTTCGGTTCGGTTTTGGTATCGATTCGATTCCGGGTTTTATTAAAAAAATGATAGATTTCCTTTTAAAATCTTCGGTTTTTCGGGATTTTTAAACTTCGGTTCGGTTCGGTTCCAGAAAAAATCGATTCTCTAAAACTGATACCGTTCGGAAAATAACAGCGGTTTCGGGTCGGAAAAAATACCGTTTTAACGGTTCGGTTCGGTCCGGTTCCGAAGAACCGAACCGAAACGTCCAGCCCTAGACCAATCATACTATACGGATACACATGGCATATATGTAAATATTATATTTTATACTATACATTATTTTTATTACACCCAAACGTGGTGTGCACATATATATATGTTTTATGGTTTTTGCAATTATTAACAAAAAAAACTTGCTCATAGATACGCTAATCCCAGGGTTAAAGCAAGTTTAAAAATGAAGTTAACTGCTTATGGATTATAGTTATAATATTCACCAATAATATTAATTATTTATTCGTTGAGCCGAAGAGACTTATATACACAGAAATATTCAATTATATTTTCCTTGTTTCGAGGGGGTGATCAAGAGATTAATTTTTCGCCATAATTAATTAATTAAACTAATTATAAGTCTTCTTTTTCTTTAACCAATTAAAAGTTAAAACCAAATCTTCAAGTTAACCTAGCGTGGTCATCACTTACATAGTTAGATTTGACTATTTAAACGTAGATATCAAATATTTTAGGTTATTAGAATCTAAATATTTTGGATTGATTATTATTTTGGAACTTGTTTTCGTAGGATTCGGTATTCGAAAAATATAAATTTTACTTTTGGTTTCCTACCAAAACTTTCATTTTTTGCCAATATTTGGATATTCAATCTGGAGAGCATGTTTTAGTTATGGAATTAAAATCCCAATGATTTATTTAATATAGTGATAAAATTTAATTTGATCATTTTAACCGTGTGAAATTTCAAAACCTGAACTAAACCGGAGATATATATATGAATGATCTTGTTACAAATCTCAAATTCAATTTCGAGTTACCCGAAGATTGAATAATTGTAACCGGTCTAACTTAATATTCAAATTCGAGTTTTCTGTCGGCATATTAATATATAGTCGGTCACTAGATTTTTTTTTTTTAATTTAAAAAGCGGAAAGTCAGTCATTGACTTAATTATATTTGATTATTAATTTACAATCATCCTTTTATAACCTCTTTGCTAATTAACTCTTCACATATGCATCTTATCTTTATATTCTTCTGTTCGTTTCGATTTATTCATCGTTACATATGGATAGAAATTATTTAGACCGTCGATCATACTCGTGGTCCGGAAACCCTAGATCGTACATATGTGATTTTTGCGAGAGAGGTTTCTCCAACGCACAAGCTTTAGGTGGGCACATGAACATCCACCGTAAGGACAGGGCAAAACTCCGACAAGCTGTCTTAAACGACGGATCTTCTCTTTCTTCTAGTCTTGAGAACATCGATACCGATCCATTAGCGATGAACAATTTTCCTGTTCCGGATGCAAGTTCCGTAACTTTATCGCAACGATGTGGATCGGAATTCGTAGAACGACCTTTTTTCTTCGATATAATGAACGATACGATCGACGTAACAGAAGAATCGGAAGGGAAGAAAAGTTCCGGGGAAGATGAAGACAAGAAGATGATGATATTTCATGAGGGTTCATCCCAAAGTGCAGAAGTATTAGATCTCGAGCTTCGTCTAGGGTTAGATCCTTACAAGAACTCGACAAGGAGGAGTTATGTGGAAAGGTAATTAATTCCAAACTATATTATACATTTTTTTGCCATTCATTGTACATATATATATATATATATATATTCCCCGTGGATCCTCTTGCTGTTAGCTGAATTATTTATTTTCTAAGGTTTGAATGATGTACTTATTTAGCTTTGTTGTCAAAATTGTTTATATATGTTTTCCCATAACTATATGGATCATCTAACTTTATAAGTAGCATTAGGTCACGTGTGCTATGAGTTTGTACTGTATAGTAATTTTGTTTTTTTATTTCAATCCTCTGATTAGTTTCGATATTAGACATGCTTGTGTTACCAAATTCGGATTTATTATTACATCTTACTCATTTATTTTATTTTTTTCATATCAAAATATTGCATATATAATACATTTTAATTCAAAATGCGCTCTTTGAAGTTTCGGACAATACAAAAATTATCTGAAGATAAAGCAAAGATAAGACATACAGATAACCTTAGCAATGAAAATGCATACATGCACCACAATAGAGGCTGGATACATTTGCTATTACGATAAATATCTTCGTTATTACGATAAAACAAAAAAAATCTAGATTAATTGTGTCATAGACCGTAGAATGGAGATTGATAATTTGATGTATATACGTATATGGAGACGTATATATCATCTAAAACTTTATAGATAGATGATAGATCATGGTCTTCTTCATACATTAACTTACCATTCCTGCCAATCATTTTATATTTACATGAAGCACATTCAGAGAGGAGATGAAAAAAAAAAAAACTTTTCGACCTCGGATATGATTATCTATGGGAAATTCGAAATTCCGGTATCCGAAATATAATGCATAGTGGGTATTATCACATTTAATAAATAATTAAAAAAAAATCGATTAAATATGCACAGTTTTCTTTGCCAAACAACCTTCCCATTCGTCCGGAGACTTCCAACAGAGACAGGCCCAATAACAGAATGGTCCATTAAGTTTTCGGCCCATTAAAACAGGTGAAAAGGACGTACGATTGACTCTCTACAAAAAATCATATTATATATATGAAATTTTAAATTGAGAATATTAAAATGAAAATATACATAAAAGAGTGGGTTTGGACTTTTAAAAATAGTCAACGTCAGCAAAATTCACAGCGAGGATGAAGTGTGCTCTACACATCTAATCCATAATGACAAATTCTAATATGGAGATGATTATTTTACAAATTAAAAATATAACTAATTAATAATGTTGATTTTTGTCAAGAGATGCGATTTGGCATAACAAGAACATGTCGAAGCCGAACATAGACTCAGCACCTTAGGTTTGCTTGGTTGTCTTGTTTCTGTCCCAGAATATGTTACAAGTCCTGTAGTCGCACGCACGATTTAAAAAAGGGAATATATTTTTTTTAACAAAACTAATATCAGGTTTAAATAAACATGAAAAATACGATTAAGAATTAAAATAAATTAATAATGATCAAAAGGTTTGTTGGAAGAAATCATTGCCAGTAAATAAGTGTTCATAATTCATGCGCCTCTTCTGTTTCCAATGAATAATTCGTATGAATTAATTAATTATTAATAGTTTTGCAGTAAGTGTACCTTTGTTTATCTTACAATTGAATAACAAATCTTTTTTTTCCCAGGTGTTTACTAAAGAATTTGAAACGTATATATGTCCAAATGATATTTAATTTCTTATATTTAGGGTTTTTAATTTGTGCCATTTAAATCGTTTTGTAAATTAATTAAATTTTATTTATTTAGCTAAATTAGACGGTTTTTTGGTGAAAAGTTTTTCGTATCTTATTTATTTGTATATTTATTATTCGGAACTTTTAAAACTGGATAGTAATGTATTAATTTGACATTAGTAAATAAGATTTTCAAAACAAAATATTCGGGAAGAAAGATGGAAAATCCGTTGAATCTGAATCATTCCCATTTGGTATATTGCTTCCTGGAAAAAGGGGAAAAAATCAGATTTTCTTCGTTTTCCAATTGCGTAGATACATGTAATCTCGTGATCATCCAATAAAACCTCTAACACACACACACACACAGAGAGAGAGAGAGAGATACAAAATGGCCATCTTCGATCCGTTCAAGATCCGGCATAAACCTCCGGCGACTTTTCCGGCGACTGTTATGAAGCCAGGATACTTTCGCTCCCTCGCCGTCAAGCCCTTCCTCGCCGTGTGCAGTTTCGCTTCCGTCGTCATATGCTTCTACGTCCTCTTATCCGGCGACAGAGGTGGCTGTTCCGTCGACTGACACCGTCTCTCCGGCCACCGTCGCTCCGGACCCGCTTCTCCGGCCGTCCCCGC